GGTGGAATCGACCTTCTTCACCAAACACTGTCACTTGAAATGGTAGTAAGCTCAACAATTATGAAACAAGAGACTCATCCAAACCTAAGCTTTCTTCACAAATATTTGTGTTGTCAAAGTCAACGAAACGAGAACGGCCTCATTTTTTATTTACTCCGCATGCCTTCCAGAGACAATGCTTTAAAACTAGATTTCTCTCAAAATTGGGCGCTAAATTCGCCAGAACTGATGAGTTTTTCGATTCAAGGAATACAACTCATCAGCTCTTTCATCTTAGGTCGTGTTCAGCTTCCTTTCAAACAGCCAAACTTGCCTTGCGATCGGCTACAAAGTTCTCGCCATGTTAGAACTCAACCTCTTCCCAAATACAGGCGGGACAGCAGCCAGACAGGGTTTTGCGTTAGCTGCCCGAACCCCTGGAGTGTGCTGTTTGCGGAAGAACGGTTCAGTCTTGATGGTCGAAAGACGATACAAGGGCACAGAAAAGACGTGTCCGTTGTTTAAGCCAGCAGCAAACTCTGTGCTACGTCAGTCGTCTGCAGCCAAAACAGTGGGCTTTGAGGTGAAAGGACTCCTACTGGTAGGTGGTATTTCGCAGGAAGTTTGTTTGCCCAGCCCACTCAGTTCCCCTTACTCACCAAAAAGAAAGAGTCCGGTTTGCATGTCTGTTTACATATGCATCTTTAATGTAGAGGCAGATGCATCAGTGGTTCAATTATTTCATACATTTTTGCATTGTACGATTCCATATCTTACTTCCCAAGTCGCATTTTAACGATTTATCAAATCTGTCATTTTGTATTTGCCTGAATGACTGGAATTCTTGCTCTCATCAAATCAAACTTTTTCAAAACCTATCTTTTATATAGTTTTATAAAACCGTGTAATTATTGGGAGGTATGTGGTGATCCTCCATGTGCTGAACGAGATCTTTGTCCTAATTGAAGAAGCAAAGTCAACATTAGAATGGGGATTACTGTCATATTGACTTTATTCAGACTCTTCCTTTCTAGATTCAAACCTAGCCTTGGTTGCTAATTCACCTGTTAATCTAGGAGGTTCGATCACAGCATCGGTGGATTCTTGCATGACTTTATATTCTTCACTCCTGAACTCAGGCGAAATGGGGATAGACGGAATATGTAGACATAATCTACAAAAATGCCACGGCCCACCTGATCAAACAAATCACTAAAACGGGAAAAATTAGCTTTTTTTACGGAATACCATAATTTTTAATTATAAAGGATCCTTGAATCAGGCAGGCAGTTTACTCTCATTACTCATGGACTACTAATTAATCCTCCCTCACATGTGCTTTCTTAAATTCTTTCCTTCTTATATCCTCTCCGATCAATCTTTTCCCACTTTTTTTTCATTTTTCTTTACTTTTGGCAAAAAGGACATCCTTCAGCTATCACCCAACCAAAAGAGCGGCTCCAAAACTAGAGCATCGACTATCAGCCTGCAGCCTCCATCCACGAATTTCCACTTTCGTATTAACTGATGCACACACGAATAGATTTACTCGTAGAGGGCAATAGTAGAAGAATGTGAGATAAATAGAGGTGCAAAAGGGGGACGGGCGAATGTTGCCAGCCCGTATACGATAACTGTCGAAAATTCGCTACGAAAGGGCTTGAATAGGCGGTAAAACCAGACAGGCAGTGATGAGAAAACCTATTTAATTGTATCAATGTCTCAGCCAGCCTAAATGGTATAAAGTGACGCAGGACTGATGATTGAATTTTCACACAAGTGATCTTGTTGATTGAAACTCTTGGTCACAATTTACTGATAGTTGTGAAGCCAACTTTATATGTGGGTGGCCTAGTTAA